AATATGAAGATAATACTCACAGGGTGAGATAAGTAAATGAGAGACCACATTATGTGTTATAGGTGCTCAATTAATGTCTTCTGCCTCAAACTCTTTCCACATTCAACTTGGTGGTACTTTTTGCTTCTTAGATTAATAACAAAAAGAGCTAATTATTTTTAATTATTATTTTATTATTTTTAAATACAATTTATTGTCAAATTTGTTTCCATACAACACCCAGTGCTCATCCCAACAAGTGCCCTCCTCCATGCCCATCACCCACTTTACCTTCTTCCCCACCCCCCGTCAACCCTCAGTTTGTTCTCAGTTCTTAAGAGTCTCTCTTATGGTTTGCCTCCCTCCCTCTCTGTAACTTTTTTCTTCCCCTTTCCCTCTCCCATGGTCTTCTGTTAAGTTTCTAAAGATCCACATACGAGTGAAAACATATGGTATCTGTCTTTCTCTGCCTGACTTATTTCACTTAGCATAATACCCTCCAGTTCCCTCCACATTGCTGCAAATGGCCAGATTTCATTCTCTCATTGCCAAGTAGTATTCCATTGTAAATATAAACCACATCTTCTTTATCCATTTGTCAGTTGATGGACATATAGTCTCAAAAAGAGCTAATTTTTATGTAACATTTACCACGTGCCAGATATGTATTATAACGTCTATCAATTAATTTAATCCTCAGAACTCAATAAGGTAGATATTATTATCCACCTTTTTCTAGTTGAGGCACAGAAGCATTAAGCAACCTGCCCAAAGTGTCCCCTACTCAGTAAATCTCACAGAGGACTTGAACCTACTAGTAAGCTTGACTCCAAGACCTATACCTTTAGTCACTACACTATAATGCCTGTCTCAATTAGTGAATACAACCACGCTAATGTTATAAACTACCCACAAATTATGGTTGATTCAGTCAAGCCACTGATTTTAGATGATCTAAATAAATGAAATCTTGATAATTAACTATGGGAAAGACTAGAAAAAGAAATTGGAGGAAACAGATGGCTAAAGGACAAGCTTAAGCCAAAATGGGGCCATGCATTTATTCATTCAATAACTTACTGAGTGCCATTATAGGACAGGTACAAATCTAAACACTGAGAATGTTCCAGTCAAGAAGACAGACTAGTCTCTGCTCGGATGGAGCAGATGATATGTGAATAAGTACCAAGCAGTGATGAGTACTAGAGATCAGGAGGTCTGAAAAATGCCCCTCTGAGGGGAAAATATGTGAGTGAAGAAGTGAATGACAAAAAGCCCACCCTGTAAAGATTAGGGGGAAGTGTATTCCAGGAGAGGAGACAGTGCCAACTGCTAAGGTAAGCAGTGGCCTAATCATGTTTATGAAATGGAAAGAGACCAGTGTGGCAGGAGTATAGTGAGCTAGGGACAGGAAATGCAGGCTGGAGTAGACATGCAAAGCTCTCAGCCCCAGCAGATTCTATTTGTACTACAGCGGACCATAAGAGTACAAATCAGGAGGTTGCAAAAATCCGATTTACATCTTTTAAGATTCCTCGGTTGCTTTGTGGAAGCAGACTATAGGGGGCAATGGTGGAGGCAGGGAGATCAGTAGTCCAGGTGGAAGATGCAGAGTGCGGTCAGGGTGGTACTCACAGAGATGGAGAGCAGTGGACTATTTTAGGCTTGTTGCTACCAATGGAGGCCCTTCACAAAACACCTTAGCCAGTAGGGTGTTTTCTCTCCTTGAGGCGACAGGGAATGACCTGATGTACTGTCTGATTTAGAGTCCTTGTCTTAAGAGCTGGCAGCAGTTGAAAATAAGCGAGTATTTGGGAAGAGAAAGAAGATCTTAGTTTTCGGGTAAACTGCATCCTTTTAAAAGAGCTGAAGGGAAGACTAATTAGGGACAAGGGTAAAAAAAGGTGGATGTTTCTCTAAAGTGTAAGATTCTCAGTTCACCTGTGTGGAGCTGACATGGGCCCAGAGTCACTAATCCCAGGAGGCCAACCTGGAAGGGATCCCAGAGGTCATTTAGTGCAAACCAGTACTTACTAGTTGTGTGAACTTGAACAAGCATTTACAACTTCTCTGAATTCACTTTCCTGATGTATATAAAATTGCAATAATAAAACTAGTTCTGTATAGGGTTGTTGTGAAGGCAGAATGACACGGTACATGTTAAAGAGCCCAGCATAGTGTGGGGGTTATTTCTTTCCTCCTACAAATGAGCTATGACTTTCCTGTCTTTTTCTTATCTGAGGGCCTTCAGTTAGATTTCTGAGTCACATGGTAATGTGGATGAACAACAGGCTAAAACTTCAGGAGCCCCAAAATTCCATTCTTTTCCCCAGTTCACTTGTCTTTTGTCGTGGGGCTGAGCTGATGAAAAGTTTATCTGGGTTAGAATTTGGGAAGCTTGTTTGGATCCACTGTCCTCCCCGCCCCAGTGTCAACAACAAAGCACCAACCAGCCTCGTCTGTGCCCAGTGTCACAGTCATTTCCACCTGAGCTCCTGTCGTTCTCTTGCCTAGTATGCCATCTCTTCCTCTACTTGGCCATTTCATACTTCTCTCTCAGAGTCTCACCTAAGGTCAGTTAAGTCATTCCTAAAGGCTACTGAGCTTCATTGATTTCTTCTTCCTCTAAACTTCTACAAAGTTAAAATCTGTACGTCGTCTGTTAGCCCTTAATCATATACTCTTCATTGTTGTTGTTGCTCCATGTGCCCTGGTCTTATCATGCCCAACAGAATGTAAGCTCCTTGAGGAACATTTTACATTTCATCTGTGTCCTCAAGAGAATGTGGCAAAGACAAGTACACAACAATCTATGGGCAAAAGTATTTGTAAATCAATTAATTGGCTGGACCTTGAGCGATCTTCTTTCTAGCCAGACTTCAGTAAAAGGCTAACTAAAATAACCCCAGCATCAAGGACAGTTAAAAGACACTGGATGGGCTCCATCTGCCAATCCCTACCCTTAGAAATCAGAGGCGTTACAGAAAGAGCAGGTGTGTAGGAATGGTGGAACAGAAAATTTGATACCTAAGAATATACTTTAGTTATTTAGTCAACTGTCTTAACTCTTCCCTGACTGGGTGGTGCTTTTTACTAAAGTTAAGGACCAGCTACCCCATAATGGTTAGAGTTAGCTTTTCTCAGTTCAGTACTTTGGCTGCTTTGTTGCTACTTCTGACAGAGCTGCCTATTTATTCATTATTAGCAGAGCCTGGATGACTAAAGTGACCACTTCCTAATGGTGGTGTCCCTCTCCTATGTGACATCACCTTACCATCTCCTCAGTCAAAAATTACCTACCAATATAATGGACATACCATAGTGTGATTTATAAGACATATATATGTAGTCATTCAGATAACCAAATATATTTCTCATGTATATTCGGTCTTCATCCAGTTTCTGACTCAGCTCCAAACGCTTGAAATTCCCCAAGTGTTGACAGAGATAAAAGTATCTTTGGCTGTAACAATTAATGTGACTTTTGGATCCCACCCAAGGGCAGGGGCTGTTGCCAGGAGGACCAACCATGTGATTTGAGGGTTGGACTTCCAGGATACCTCTCAACCCCTCAAGGGAGATGGGCTGGAGATTGAATCAAACAATGGCCAATGACTTGGTCAAACATGACTACACAATGAAGCCTCCATAAAAACCCAAGAGGATGGGGTTCAGAGAATTTCCAAGTTGGCAAACATATAGAGATGTGGGGAAAGTGGTGTCCCTGGAGACGGCATGGAAGCTCTATGCCCTTTCCCTAGACCTTGCCCTATGTATCTCTTCATGTGGCTGTTGATTTGTTATCTTTTACCATATCCTTTAATAAACTGGTATGTAAGTGTTTTCCTGAGTTCTGTGAGCCACTCTAGCAAATGAGAAGAACCTAAGAAGGAGGTCGTTGGAACCCCCAATCTGTAGCTGGTGGTCAGAAGCACAGGTAATAGCCTGGGGCTTATGACTAGTGTCTAAAGTAGGGGGCAAGGGACAGTTTTACTGGCCTGAGCCCTTAACGTGTGGAATCTGATGCTATCTCTGGGTCGAGTAGTTAGTGTCAGAATTGAGCTGAATTCTTAGACACCCTGCTGATGTTGGAGAATTACTTGGTATTGGGGCGGGGGTAGGGGACTCCACCACCCTGCCCCCACATTGGATTTGGGTCCAGGAATCCAAAAAGAGGGCACATAATGCCACCTCTATGAGGACTCCCATTAATCTAGATCTTTTCATTACTTTTGAATCAGTAAGCCTGCCTTTCAAGACATTCCTTCAGCATTCCATAGGAATGAGTGTAGTAGTCAGTTACTTTAAGGAGTTTTAAAGAGTCTTTAGATGGCAGGCATGCCAGCCTGCCTCTGTCTATTAGGCTTTATTGTTTGCATAATTCTCCACCTTCTGCTCCATTAACGTCGTTCTATTTATAAAAGCAACAAACATTACAAAAGGCCAGGGCTTGGACACTGTAGTAAATTAGATTTAGATCCTGTGCTACAAACTCTCAATTCATCAGAGAAACGGTGATGCTAGAGAGAGGTGGGCATAATTCAGTCATCCTCAGGAAGCAAAAGTCTCAGAACCCCAAGGGCGTGAAATCTAGTTTCAATTTGCTGTTATTGACCAGAGGCAAGAAATGTGACTTCCACAGGCCTGTCATTTCCCCTTCTCTAAAGTAAAGACAAAAATACCTTATTCTCTTTGTGTCCCTTTTATCTTAAGATCCCACCCTGAGGTAAGAAAGCAAGTGTCTGTGAAGCCAGGGAAGTGATTTACATTAACGCATGCCATTCTCATTACCGTCATTACTGAGTAATGCTGTGCTACAGCTTGGTGACTTTAGGGAAATATTTATAAGAAAGAGTCTTAGAGAAAAAATAAAGAGTAGAGGGAGATGGATGGGAAGGGTTAGGAGAGGCAGAAAAAATGTATATATAAGAATGCAGTAAGAGCCCTAAGGTCAGCTCACGTGGAAAAAAGTGCCCCTAAGCTCAGTTTCTAAGTATGGCCTCAAGTGCAAATAGACTCACCATCCTCGATGTCGTAGGCATAAGCCGAGAGGCGCAGGGTAGTGGCGCAGTACTCGCATTTGAAGCAGCTCCGATGGAAGAACTTGCCCTCAGCACTCAGTCTCTCCATCACGTAGACCCGCTTCTGACAGAAGTAGCACGTGTCGCTGCCTCCTAAGTTCTGTGGGAACTCCTTCTTTATCGAGCCCTGTAATGGGGGATGGTGGAAGATCTGTCAGAGCCAACACTTCTTAGACTCACCTCCTGGAGGTGCACGACCCTCTCCATATGTGAAACTAACCCTCACTAAGCAATTTTGTTTTGAGACAGACTACGATGGCTCACTTTATTATTGGCTCTCCCGAAGAACAATGGCACTAGTGCAGTGACTGTCACATGTGCCCTCTATGTAGCAATCGGCATTAGCTGGGTTCTGAATCGATGTTAATCAACACCCAAGAGGAATCCCCAGTTGGTTTTACACAATTTCATAACAAACCAAATTATTTTGACAGAATTGTGTTTTGAAGGTAGCATAAAAATACCTACTCAGAGTTCACGTCGTTCTACATGAATGTGGGCCTCTAGGACTCCAGAGCAAACAATCACTTTTACAGATACTAAGTATGTTTTTCCACACAACATTCTAAACAGCCAGTCAGTCCTAGAAATTCAGTTACAAACTTCAGATATCTTTAAAAAAAGTTACCACATGGCATATATTAGGTATATATGTTACTAAGCTACTTAGAATAAACCAGGTTTATTTACCACAGCTGTGCTATATCTAGACAGACGGTGCCCTTAATATATCTCTTACCAGTTCCTTCTTGTCTAGAAGGGTTTTGGGCTGTTCTTTCCTTTGAAGCTGATTGGCTATCTGCTCAGCCAATGAGCTCACTCCGCCAGTGTACATCTTTATATACTTCTATTGGTTGGAGATTATAAAATGACCAGAATGATGGAAAATGAGAAGGAAAAAAAAAATAAATTAAGAAGACAGGGGGAAAAAAAATCTTTGAAAGGTATAAAATGAATACAAGGTGCAGCAGCAAACCATGCCAACACAGTGCCCACAAGCAGGGAAACTTGGTGGTCAGAAAAATGGGTGTCAACGTCCACACAGAGGTATCAGCAGAGGTAAGAGTAATGCCTGCAGGAATAATTAAACTCAGTAAGGGAGAACTTAGTCTTCCATGTCTTTTCAGAGCATACAGTTCAGGGAGGTGGGAAGACAGGATGGATACAAATATAGAACAGAGTAAGAAGGGCCTATACCCTAGTGACTCAAATTACATACAAAGAATTCAAGAGGAATAACTCCCACCCACACGGCACATGTCCAGATTAACATTATGTTTCAAGTTGGGTCTAGGAGAGGGCTTGGCAAGTTATTTCACCATTTAGAAAAAAAACTGAGCTTGGGGTGCCAGGGTGGCTCAGTTGGTTAAGCGTCTGACTTCGGCTCAGGTCATGATCTCGTGGTTTGTGGGTTCGAGCCCTGCGTTGGGCTCTGTGCTGACAGCTCAGAGCCTGGAGCCTGCTTTGGATTCTGTCTCCCTCTCTCTCTCTGCCCCTCCACCACTTGCACTCTGCCTCTCTCTCTCTCTCAAAAACAAATAAACATAAAAGACATAAAAAAGAAAGAAAGAAAGAAAGAAAGAAAAGAAGAAAGAAAGAAAGAGAAAGAAAGAAAGAAAGAAAGAAAGAAAGAAAGAAAGAAAGAAAGAAACAAACTAAGCTCACACTTGCAAGGCTGATTCTCCACTTGGGTAAAAGATGCCAACAGCCTAGTATTACTCGTGATGATCACCTTCCTCCTATTAATGCTTCACTCATAACCCCCGTCATATGCATCAAATATTTCTGAGCTGTATCTGGAAGAATCCTTCTCAGCCCATTCTCCCTGTTAATATTTATCTGTTCTACCCAGGCACTAAGGCCAAAGTGTTCTAGACTGGGCAGGGCATCTTAAACACAGCTGCAGGAGGCTAACACCTGGAGCCATGCAGACAAGTTGCTTAGTTTAGTCTTGGGAAGTCAGGAAGTCAGGAAGTCTTGGGAAGTTTCTAGTCCAAGAGGGATTATTTTTTCATAGGTTGGAAAAAGAAAAGAAAAAAAAAAAATCCAACCAATTCAATCCTCTTTCTAGCAATGTTGAAGAAGTAACAAACAAAACTACAAAATTTCAATTGTAAGCCTTCCTGCTAGGCAGCCTAGCTTTGAGCCTGTCCCAAGGACTGAGGTCAAAGTCTTGCTGACAGTCCTTTAGAGACTCCCAAGGTCACCCTTCCATGTGGAGATGGCCAGGACACCTAGTGTGCATGACTCTCCTCTCATAAACTGTGTGGAATAAGAGAACTGCCTAATGAGTTTGGGGAGCCCTGTAATTCTGACTGAGAAAAACACTCCAGGAGCAGTTGTCTTGGGGATGTCCACAACCCTGTCAGGAAGTGGTTTGAATGGACAACACACAAAGCCAGGTGTGAGAGAATCACTGGCCTGAGCAATGGTGTGCCGTGGGCTGAGAAGGGACAAACAAGAGAAGTGCTCCAGGGGTGGGGGGACAGGGGGAACTAGCTCTATGTGAACACGAGAATAACAGAAGCACAGATGAGCAAACAATTCTCCAAGGTTCAGTTGGAACTGAGGAGTCAATTCTATTTTTCAATTTAAAATAAGGAGATTTCCAAGGATTGGTGCCATTTGTTCATTAACTCCACAGCTTATATCCATTAATGGTTGAGAAAAACAAGTGGCTCTAAGATCTAAACCTTCTTTAGATTAGAGCTGTTAGGGAAACTTACTCCTGGAACAGACTGACACCAGGCAGAGCTGAGCAGGTCACTTAACAGCTGACACCGAGGGTGCAGAAAGTAAGTGAGGGTGTAGGCCAGATGCCACCCCTGAGGTTGGGACACTGAGCAAGCTCTGGATCCTCACTGCTCGGCCAGGACCCTTCCCTCCCACCAGAAACTGGCATCCTCAGCAAATACAGCCCAGGGCTGCCTGCGTGCAAAGGCATTTGTCACATTCAGTTCTCAGCAATGCGGTAATAATGACAAGCATCCCCCCAAGAGAGGTGGAAACTCAAGTTCTATTTTCTTCTGGCATGAATAGCAGATGGTATCCTTCTCCCCACTCTTAAGAAACAGTCTAAATGTGGCAATTGCTGGACTTATACTTTTGCTGCCACACATGCATATGTTTCCACACACGTACCACACAGACTGCTCGAGGACAGGAAACGTAAACAGAAAGGGCAAAAGGATCCGCCAACCTCTCTCTAAACTACTCTATAGCTGGATCAGTTCCACTGTGGGAAATAGCAGGGTTCACTCCTCAAGTGATTACAATGCAAGAGGCACCCACAATACTGCATATTCACCACTCCATTTAAGAGATTTAATTACACTATTGTTCATATTTTTTAATACATATCCATACGAAGACATTTGGAATTTAAAAAGTTAATGGCTGAAAAATGTTTGTTGTTATTTTATATAGTTGAAATATAATAGAAGTGGGTTTACTGTGACAGAATTTGTTACAATGAAAGCTAGCAGCCTCTTTAACTTTGGTGTATGCCTACAGACCTCACATGCAAAACCGACAGACAACACACACACACACACACACACACACACACACACACACACACACACGTGGATTCCCACAGAAGACAGGCCAAAGTTAAGAGCTCTGCAACCTCCCTCGGGCCTGATGACATTTGTGTAGGTGAACTGAGGACGACAGGCTGGAGAGCAAAGAGCTTTGCCAAGTTCCAGGCTGTGCTACCTGTCGGAGAGAGTCAGAAGAGGGAGAGGCGGGGCGGTTGGAGGAGCGAAGACTAAGAGAAAGCTCCCACTGGTCAACAAAAAATCGGCGAGAAGGTTCAGGCTCTGGCTACAAAATACAAGATGGAGAAAAAAAAAATCAAAGGAAATGTTAAATAAAAAGTTACACACTGACCTGAATGTAAGGAATTTGGGAGTTTTAGACCTTTACCTAAGTAACTAATGCAGTAAAGAGACATTCTTAGTTCCCAAAGGTGTGAATGGCTCATTCAAAGCTTCCATTTTACTTTCAGCTCACTCACCCTTGCCTCATGCTTACAGTGAAGCTCGCTCTGGAACATGGTCACTGTAGACATGAGCCGTCTCTGAAAGCCTTGTCTTCTCTTGCTTGGTGGTTTTACTCCATCCACCCCAAGTGGATAATGCTGCCTGCCAGCCAGGAGGAGACAGAGGCCAGGGGCTATGTCCTGCTCACACACCCACTTTATGTCCTCTGTAGAGACCCTCACAGACTTGAGCTGGGAATTCTCCTAGGCAGAAGGAGACTGTACCACCTCATCACTCCACTGGCCTTACAAACAGCAAACAATAGCAATAGCAAATCTAGAATGAAGTTTACTCCTCCATAAAGGCCAGAAATGTGGCTTTGCCTCTTCCTATTGCTAGTGCTCAGAGAAACTCTGCCTGCCAAAGAGCCAGCCAAATCCCAGCAATGATCAGGAGAAAAGATCCCAAGTCCTCTGCACTGCATGCAGCATGTGTTGCAAAAGTAAGCTGGCATCTTCCTTGGTGGTGGGCCCATGCAGCCAGGATCTGTCCAGTCCCCAGAGAGGGAGAAGGGGCCTGAGAGCTCTGGCAAGTGATAACTGCTCAGTTTCCTACAAGGTTCAGGATGAAATACTTGCAGGGTGGAGGGAAGAACTGTCATGGTAAGAGAAGCTCTCTGCCCCTCTAGCTCCAAGCAGATCCATCACACCCCCAATTTAGTCCCTCACTAAATTCACAGCTTTGAGCGGTGATGAAGTGGAGTGTAACCATCCCTGCTCCCGATTCTCAGCCAGCTCACTGGCCCTCAGCTCAGCACTTGGGGCAGGCTCAGAAACACAGGCCCAAGGGGGAGATCTCTGTAGAAGAGTATCACCCACCTGAGAGAAATAAGAGAAAAGGCAACTCTCCCAGGGATGGCAAAGCAGTGAAACTAATGGGAAGACTCGGGGGTGGGGGTGGGGGGTGGATAGGAGCAGGTGAGTGCACAGGCAAGATTATGGAATAGTGGACAGAAAATCCTGGAAGAGCACACATACAGTAACCCTTATAAGTATCTAGACAGGACCCCTGCAGTGAAGAATCTGGAAACCAATACATTGGGAAAATGAAAGAAAATTCCCTGCAAACCTTCTTGCTTCCTGAG